TACCCTAAACAGAAGGTTACCAACAGTATGCTGACATTATCGTAATATCTCAACCAGGTAATTGCTCTCATTTGGGGATACCAGTTTGTCTTCATATGTGCACTGATGATTTAAAACGTAATCTAAAATCCCATTTTCAAAAAGAGTCAATTGAGGAATGTGTTACACATCTGTTAATTTTCTAATTAAATTGTTAACTACGCAATATTTTCCGAGAAATTTGATTTTAACCAAACATATGTAAATGAATTGTAAGACATTGTCAGTAAGTACCAATCATTCATGAAGGAAATAGTTATATTCTTTGGTTGGTTGGCCTATAAATCTTTCAAACCAGTCAATTCATTCTGATTAATTAATGAGGAATTCAAAAAATTCCAGATAACAGTTTATCACTAGTTTAATGTTAACCATACAATTTCCAAAAATCCAAGTTTTTGAGTACCATTATATCCCCTTTAAAATCTCTTAATCTATTATACATCCCATAAGACAATGAAATACAAATCATTTCAAATTACAAGAATAATGGGAATAAAAAAAACAACTTCATATAATCTTCTTAGGTTTAGTTATGAACAAAAGATTTATTGATGATTCTAATGAAAAATGAACTAGACTAAGAACTATTACGTAAAAAACACATATTTACAATACCCTTGAGGTTAATATAAAATAAAACAGTTAACATGCAATCAACCAAGGCGTCTTTGACATAGGAAAGACGTCTGAAGTAGGTAAATTTTGCTGATGAAAACATCAACTCAATAAAATGAATAATACAATAGAATGTAATGTAACCGGTTTATATGATTAAATTATCTCCACTACCAAGATAAGTTTCACTTTTTATCAGTATCACAGTAGAATAGAGTTATACAATATGTATTAGCTTAGTTATCATATAACGAATGTTTTACTGATAATAAAGTTGAAAACCATTGAATTTTAGGCTTCCAAAATCTGTAATGATATATCTAACTAGAATTTGATCAAAGAACTGTCATTAAATGTATCTCATCAGTTGATCATATTTGTTTGTATATTTTACAGTGAATGTTTTATTTGAATCGTATGTGGTGTTTCATTTTAATGAAAGTTAATAACGTTGTGTATTTATGTGTAGAAACTACAGGTGATAATAAAAATGATTCAATTAGGGATTACCGAATTTTGAAATGGAATATATTTTTGGCGTTATTGTGGTTGTGAAGCCTACATTGTTCTTCTGAATAACATCATCAGAATGTATTTCACGTAGAAGTAAGCTTTTAGAGCCTCTTCACAACTGAATAATGGCCGATGGTATTGTTCAGAAGAGAAATGAGAGCTTTAAAAACAATACATCCAGCTCAGCGACCACAATTCCAACATGCTCATCCTGAGCTACAAATATTCTCCATCATCTTAATGATGTAAATGTCATAATGACTTTGCTGTGAAAAATCTCTTACTCCATAAAATGTTCGAAACTGACCTGTCTTTTAATTCTCTGAATAGATGGAAAGCTAAATGCGATAAGTAATACATGTGTCACTGTACTTAGTCCTTTAAATAGGACTGATATATAAAATATTACTCTTTAATAAACCTCTCTATATGTTCATTTAAACTTGTTTTGAATCCTCAAATATTCGTCAAACAGTTCAGTTTCATTTATAATGCAATGTTTTAGGAAAAAATACAACCACTTAAATTTTGCATGAATAAATAAGCATTTTAAACAGATTCAAACAAGATACTGTAAATTACACAACATGCTGAATTTAGCTACACATTTCATGAAAATCAGGAAAAGATAGACATCTATTCATAAATCAGAAGCTTTAGACTTTGTGGAGAATGCCCAACTTTCAAATCAATTAGCTGTCTCCCAATGGTTTACAAGTTTACTTTCAGTAAATTTGTGATATTAAGTGACCATAATTTGTGTATATCAGTGAGATTTGTCTGATATCTGACGCAGTTGAACTACATAATTTAAGAACTGTTACTAGAAAAAGAATCTAGTCAGAATATCTCTGTTATCAGTGAATAAAGTTCCTGAATTTGTTTGTTTTGTGATTTACATCACTAACCAGCTGATGATAGGGATCTAAAAGCATTATTTTCATTTTCCACACTCAACAAAAGGTATAAAAGTCATGAGGTGAATCAACTGACGCCGTGTTGTGGAATCCCATAGTAAGAAGAAATGCCTAGTCAATAACTCATAGTTTTCAACGGTTATTTACCTCAAGCAGTCCAAAATAAAGATCTTCACAAATCTCCTAATAGTATTTTGCGATTTTGTTAAGTTATAATAAAATGATTATCAACAAAATAATATGTTATTCGCTTTATTCAATATTATATTTTTGTGGTACAATATAGAATTTTCAGCACAAAGTATTCAACTGAAAGATCTTGAAATTGTTGGTGATGTTGTTGTTGTCCCATATTAAGAGTTACACCATGCTGATAAGTTTCAACATCCAATATAACTGGATTCAACCCTTCATGGCGATTACCTACGATCAGTCAGTATCTGTATGTGATGATCAGGCCACACTATAACTTCACTAATAAAATTCGACCAAAACTAAAAACTTGGAAAATAAATCATTAGTTAACTCATATTATTCAGTCAGCACATATCTGTCTCTGAACTCCACTCAACTATTACACCACCCATTCACTTATGTCAATCGTTCCATACTATTTCTTATTTCTATGTAAAATTCCATTACATATTTGGTTGTAAACAGCTGACGAAAAACCACGAAATATAATGAAATCATATTATTCTGCACCAATATTTGTTCTGGCTTTATTGAAAAATATATAATCCTACTGAAATATATGAATCTCATTTTGAGTCTAACTTCTAAATCAAATGAAAGAACACAGTTTGTTGAATAATATTTGGTTAGTTTGATCCTCACTATAAAACAGAGCATCGACCAAGTCTTGTACCGAGACAGTAAGCATTTACCCTTTTAATTTCCCGACGTTTTGTTTAATATATTCCTAAATGAGCCTATTAGGTTCCAAACTTGATTGGCCAGTCAATGTTAAACTGAGAAGGGACAAAAATTAGGTCACATTAATGGGTTTTTGAACTATTTAATTTTTTTCATTGAGATCATGAATTAATTGATGTCAGATCACCATTGAAAGCACTAGATGGCCATTTCGTCCTATTGTGGGACTCCTCAGCAGTGCGTCTTGACAATTCTGCTCGCGCGATTCGAACACAGAGCATTCGATCTCGCCCGCGAACGCTTATCCTCTAGACCACTGAGCCGGCATCTAACGGTGTTAATTTCTAACCTCAACCAATCCACGAAATTGTGAGACCATCTTCCATTGCAGTGAGGTAGATACGTGTCTCCATCCGACTCTGATTAGCTCCATGAAGCGCGAGACTGCAGGCCCTTGGTTTGGATCCCGTGGGCGAGGTTGTAGATGAGAAGCCCCACAGTAGGATGAAACGGCCGTCCAGTGCTTCCAGGTTTTCAACGGTTATCTAACATCAACTTAATAATCTCCACAACCCCATACTGATATTTCATATTTACCATTTTCATATTACGACTTCCCAATTTTGTTTAAATGTATATGATACATTCGTATTTATTTGTTTCGTCTAACCGCACTTTGAAAACAGATGGTAGTAAGTTACAGTCAGCCCATTTCGATATTCGTTTTATTAGGCAGAATTTTAAAAAAATCCTAAATGAGAAGTCTGAATTCTAGTCTTCAAAATTGCTATTCGAAATGCTGATCATAGAATTTTGAAATTTTCTCTTTTAATTGCCGAAATCAAAATAACCGCTTACTTTTCTCTTCTATACACTTGTAAACTTTTGTGAATAGCACCTGTAATCTGTGGGGTTACCTTTTAAGATAAAAGTTATTCATTATTTTCATAAATTACAAATTTGCTTTCAGACATAGTCATCAGACATATTGCTTTGTTACATTAAAAAAATAGAAAACTAATTAGATCTATGCATAGGACTTGTATACTGTTTCGAAGTAGTGTTCATCATCATCATCAGTTTTCATGAAGTTGCATTAAATACTAGTTTTCTTCAATAATTTCTAAATAAAAATTAATCGTCTGCTTACTACGTTCAAGATGAAGATTAAAATTTCAGCATAAATTTATAATTAATTAATCGACGAAGTCAATAAAATCTCTTATATTCTAATTCATTGATTTAAATGTTATATAATCACTACGATTCACAAAGTTTCATCAATGATCCTCTAAAAAAGATTGTAAGTGAGCATTATTGAGAGACATTAAATTAGGACAAAATAACTTACTAGTACTTATTGGTTTTTTGAAGTTTCTTCAAGGTAAACTGTTCTTTACTGTTCAATCTATAAACATGATTCAAACCAAAGAACAATATTTTTACTGAATTGTTGTTTTGTGATTCCACCCTTCAACCTACAATTATTTTCATATAAATCTGGTTTTCTTAGTGTTTTGGAAGTATGGATTACTATCAAACCAACTTCTAATAAACCAGATTCATGAAGTATAAATGCAAGCAATAAAAATAACAGTGTTTAATGTTAAATACTATTGTTTCCAGTATATTGTATCAATCAATATTCATTGTTATTTTTTTTCTTAACCACTTCACGTTTAACAGTTAAAACAATAAAATATCTAATTCCCGAATGACAATGTACTATTGTGGCGCGTGCTACTTATATTGACATAAGTAGTATATAACACGAGTCAGGAATGTAATGTCTGGCAGCAGAAGATTGAGAAGATCAAGAAAAGAAGAACAAGAATAGAAAGCAATTAGTATAGAAATGCAAGAACAATGAAGTCCGAGACAATTATTGAACATTTTGCAAATTAGGTTTAAATAGTATGGTTTTTCTATTTTACCAAATAACTCCGTAATGTTGTGCTGAACATAATTCAGTTGTCCTCACCTGTGTTCTCCTTCACTACACTATCCCAATTAATAACTATAAAGAAAACACAACAATAAATGAACAAATGAAGTTTAATCATCTGTTATTAGTATCAATTACATCACATTTACCTTTCTTTTTTTACAATGTTAATGAAATCAATGAAATCAAAAAAAGTTGGATTCATAAACACCAAATCAAAAGAGAAATTAAAAAAAGGAAAAAGAGAGAGGAATTACAGTATTTTTTTGTTTCTGGGAAAGAAATAATAAACAAAATCAAAATTGCACAAAATTTTCGAATTCATCTGACTTTCATTCAAATTGAAATAAATAAATTTTTTTTTAGAAAAATGGGAGAAAATATCGAAATAGGCAAGTACATTCGAAGAATGTATTTTATGAATATAATTCTTTTGTGTATATTGTTGTGTATGTGTATATGTATTTGTAATTTATCATGTATTTTGTTTTGTAATATTCTGTACTTACCTGAGTTCATTGACTAAATATTAGCCAGTGTTCGAAAAACAAGTTGATCCCATGGAAAAGAAAGTCAGATAATGAAAACAAAAAAATATTATTGTTTATCTGTATGTCTGTATGTGTATGTATGTTTATATGTATGTTTGTATGTATGCATGTATGTTTCTATTTATGTTTCTATGTATGTGTGTATGTATGTATGAATTACAACTTAATCAAGTAAGTATATGAGTGATTTTGTATATGAATGAGCATATGAAATAATAAATATATTATTCAAATGGATGCAAAACATACATACTTAAATATCGCCAATATACATTACAAATAGCATACAGCCATGGTAATAATAAATGAATATTATGTACAGAACAAAGTATAGGAAACAGAAAATACAAAACATTTACATCAATAATCAATAAAAAAAGAAGTAAAAATGATAATTTTCTTGATATTTAGAGAGAAAAAAGGAGAAAAATGAATGTTTTTTTCTCTTACTTCATATAAATAAATGTAGAAAAACAAGAAAAAAAATGACAGATTTAAGAATAAACAAATATGTTAGTTTCAATGAGATCTTGATGCTTGAACACAACCGCATAATTTTTGAAACCACATTTTTTGTCGTCTTTTATTTCTACATTGTGTTGAACTGTCATAACTATGATAATCACGTCTTCGTCTTATCGGTGCATGTCCATGTTTATCATGTTCTACTGTTACTTTACTTGGAACCAATTCATTAATTGATTGATTTTGATCAAATTTATGATTATCCATTTGACAGAAACCTAACCATGGACTACTTCCTACTGAATTTCTCCCTGGATATGTATTTAAAAAGTGGAGATAAAAAAAATAAAATCTGTTAAGTTATAAATTTTAACGAAATAAATGGTAGTTTTGTGTGTAAATAAAAAACTTTTCGATAGAGATCATGAATCGATCAATGTTAAACCATCATTAAAAAGCCTATAAACGCTAGAGGGCCGTTTCATCCTAGTGCGCGACTCCTCAACAATCTCCACAACCCTATGCCGATATATACATCCAAAAAAATTCATGTTATCTTAAAATTTTATAAAAATTCAAATATTTCTGAGTAGCTGAGATGAATATAATTGAAATTATCTTCGAAATTTCACAAGCTATACATTTACAGTTTGTTAATTTTTGAAAATATTCTTTGCTAGTTGTGTACAACCCAAACAAACTTCTTTGTATTTCATGGGTACAACCCTTCTAAATCACATAACTCAATATGATTGTTTCATTGTAGTAAACACTTAAGTATTATTTATTCCTCTGAAAAATGAAGTGGGAAATCATAAGATCAATGTCATTGGTATCTTACATCTACGAATGTTTTGGATTTCATTACATCTCAGAGTAAAAATGAGTTTATTTAGATAGCATTATCCTATTTCCTATTGTATTTTTAATGACTAGTACAATATCTGTCAACTGCTTATTAGTATATTTAAATATTGTGGTTTTCTAATGCTTAAATTGTCATATTAATATTCCAAATACAACTTCTGAATTAATAACAATAATCGACATATGGATCGTTAGAACTTATCCAATAACATGTAGTTTCTTTATTTATCTGCATAAAAATACTTAAGTAACACTTGAAAGGTATTTTAAAAAAGTTAAAATTAAATGCCTTTTGACACTGTCAGTATAATTAATTATATCACTAATAAGTGTACTTCAAAGTCATCGTATACTGTAGTTTACAGATAATGTTCACCACTTTTCAGTTTAACACTATTGTAATCTTACATAAATACGTTACAATAACGTAATTCTTCTTCAGTTATGCTCTAATATACCGAATGTTTTCATTTTTAATTGTATGTCAATCAATAATATTATGAGCACTTGGAAAGAAGTTAGTAGAAAACAGATGATAAGAATTAAGAAAATTTGCACTAATGGATACAATTTCAAAGCTCACTTTCAAAGATACACTAACTTTGATCATGATTCCATCAAACTTGGTGGATAACATCATGTGAATAACAAAGCTTCACTTTAATAACATTTCTTACGATTACATTAATTTTATGAACTATGTGAAAGACTTTCAACTTAAAAGATACTGTTTTGTGTTGATTATACACTTTCGGTCATGACAAACGTCCTTCCAATCTTATTTAAGCATAAGATCTAACTTATGCGAATATTCGTCAAGATTAAAACGAATAGTTTGACAGAAATTGGGTGCCGAGTATAGAGAAGTCATTATATGTGAAAATTATATTTGAAATAATCTCAGCGATTGAAATCTAAATAATTCCAACGTTTCGTTCAGCTAACGATATAGCACTTGTTGGTTATACGTATTTTGTGAATCAATGGTTGCTTTTGCCATATTTCCTTAAAATAATAATCATGATGACTAATAGGCTAGAGTTCTACACATACATGTAAACTAGAAAGAAAATAATTGGAATAATTAATTAAAATGGACGTATCCAGTATCTAGGTTTATCTCTCTGTACCAAATGAATTGCCAATTAAAACAGTTAAGTGTGGATAAAATTCCAGTCATATGTTTCCCTCAATTATCTTTAACGGTTTACATGTACGTGATAAAGAATATACATTAGAACAGCAAGGATGGTTAGTGTCCATATTACTGATTACATTCTACAGAAGCTTAGACTAAAAGAACAGATTGGTCTCGACCGTGCTACTACCCATTATTTGCTTGACAGTTGATAAAATGTTGACGTACTAAATTTTTTTAAAGATGATCACTGAACAAAAAGCGTCGAGTTGATTACGCCATTATAAAGCAAGTACCATTAAAACATTTAAATAAGGATTTGGCATCTAAGAAGAAACTATTCACACTGAGCACAGACATCTGAATCCTTTCTGAGTATGTATTATAGAGCCATATTACACTACAAATAATTAATTTAAGATTATATAACTATTTCACGTGATCGATTGATTTGTGTGTATTCATGTGTATGTTGTATATATGGTACCACATAATAAAAACAAAACACAAATCTGTCTAAACTTTCTTGTAAGATATGTACGAAATACGGAGGTGTACTCAGAAAAGAAAAAAAAAACTTTTCCTTAAAAATGTACTTACAGTCTAATTAAAACAAATTGTACTCAATAAAAAGTACATTATTTAATCAATAAGTTCTAAATATAGCCTTATAAGGATAACGAAGAAAACAACTATTAAAGTGTAAATGGAAACAAGACGAATATGCCTACACTGTAATATCTCAATCAAAAATATTAATTAAGTCTTAACACTTATTATGAAAAAAAAGAAGTCAATAATTAACTTGGCTGTGAACCCACTCCAACATTGTTTTGAGGTGTGAGGACACTAAGCTTAGTTGCAGTACAATTAATTGATTTAAAACAGTACGAAAGAGCCTAACATAATGTCATTCTTTGTACAAAAAAAATAAAGAATAAACAACTAGTTTACGCTAACCCTACTTCTACTTAAAGCTTAAGAAAAATATATCTCACCTACAAATCACTGATCATTCACAACAATCAACAGCTTAAACCTTGAAACCCTTCTACTAAAAATCTAGTGACGATCCTCCAGAGATCTTTACTATAAAGAGGAAATTTTCTTTTTATGTACTTGAACAATCCTTGAAGTTTAAAGCTTCATCTCTGTTAATCATCGTTTTTTTAAACGAAAGAGGTTCATGTTAAACCATCACTGAAAACCTGAAAGCATTAAAAGACAGTTTCACTCTGGTATGGGACTCCTTAGCAGTGAGCATCCACGATCCTGTGTGCGGGATTCGAACCCAGGACTTTCGACCTCACTAGCGAACGCTTAACCTGTAGACCACTGAACTGGCCGGTATTCAATGTTTTTAAAAGAATATTAAAAAAATAAAAACTATTATTCCTTAATCAAACGAAAAGTTGGTCAAGAAAATCAATAATACTGGCATTATGACGTCATACTTAAAGTTAATAGGGTCAACACAACATTAATTCCTTCTTTTACTATGACCTAATAAAATTTACGGCTAAGGTTAACAACAAACAGTCATATCTATGCATTAATCATTTTTCATCACGTTTCATAGTTAATAAAACATTTTAAAAATATGTATTAAGCTAAGATAATATTTCACTTTCATTCACTGAAGAAATCGTTAGTGAGATCCATTAAACAACATAAAAGATTGCCGTTGTACCTTGGTAACCATTGTCAATTGACATAAAACTTAGAATATAATTCTGACAACCATTTTCAATTAATTAATAGTTAATTACATGCATACGATATTTCGTATACATGATCCTGATATGAAACAAAATAGACCATCTACATTTATTAGAAACACTATTAAAGTAGAATTACATTTTGTGAAGGTTTCAAATAAGCACACTTTGAAAAGATTCACGCCGCTTTGATTTACAATAATGTAAGGAATCCATTTCAAGTAGATACGTCTTGTCAATAGATGATATAAATGAGTTGTTACTGTGAAATCAGTGTATTACGTTAATGACGTACACTTTTCCTATGAAGAACAATATTGAAACATGTTAATTATAAATCAAACAGATGTGTAATGGGTATGCGTCAAAGTGTTTTCTTTGATACATTCAATACAATGATTTATAGCATATTCAAGAGCTGAGTATTAGTTTTTTTATTATTTTATTAACAAATCATTTTAATCAAACATAATATAGAATAACTGCTTGATACAGTTAACTGAAACATTTTCATTTCACTGAATACTGAAAATAGTATCAATCTCAGCGATAGCTATCATTGACAAAGTGAGAAATGAACTGATCCCTTTGACAACAGTACTTACGACGACATTCTCTATATTGTTATAGCATTTTAATCAAAGTTAACACAAATCAAGGTTTTAATGAAGACTAATTATGAGATCATTGTTCTAATGGCTAATTCTTAGTAGTCATAAACAATATATATATGAATTCCAGTCGATGAATGTAAACATCCAAAGTTCAATATTTGAATCCACAACATGTGAATAAAACGTACTTCATTATTATTGTTTCTGCTTGAAAAGGAAAATAATGATTAAAAGAATTGAGATTTTTCTATAGGCAGTTCTCTTTTTAATCTTTTGAAGCGAAATCTTATCATCTTTACACATAACCTACATAAAGTATTTATTATTCTCAAAATAATAGAATATAATCTAAGTAAAAGCATTAGTTATCTAAATGTGTAAAGTATTTTCTTTTTATTCAACTGTGAAACAGTGTTACATTTTAAAAGTGGAAATGTCACACAGTCAAGCGTTTGTCAATTGCGGTATAATTCTGTTTTATTTAAACAGAAAAGATATTTTTGTATATTAGTTTGGAAAATATGAATCATTTGTGTAGTTGTATATATACATTCTCATAGGACAAAAACAAATTACATACCTTATACTATACAAAATTTGAAAGTATTTCTACAAATGTTAATTATAAATCATTATGAGATATGGCATTTTGTGTGTATAGATATGTGTAGTCGAAAATAACGTTCATTGTGCTAAATTATTCTAATCAGTAATTGTCATTTATCTCCTTAGATTCTTGTATTAATACGTGTATTCACGGTTCATGGGCCAAGCTTAATAATGAAAAGGTTGCTATAGTAATGAGCAATAAATTTCTTGTCAATGGCTGTCTACAATTTATTGATTAATTCTGGATAAGGAAAAATGTTTTAATATTATCGTTCAGAATTAGGAAATAGAATATTTCTAATACTCTTTCTAACCCATATTCATAACACTGATATTGATTTCTGCGCAATATTTTGCCTATTAAA